TTTTGTTTTTCGAGGTCTCGATTTTCATGCCCAAAACCTGGCGATCAGAATGAAAGGTTTTTTGTCTAATTTTAGTGTTCTGCATGTTCATCTAATCTTTCATGCGACTGAAATTTAGTAAAACGCTAGTAGGTTTGCTCTTTTTGGCTGTTTCTTCAAGGTTGCTCTTCCTTGTTTTGCAGCAGTTTTCTGTTTGGGAACAAAACATCCATGCCAAGAACTTAATGACGTGCGTGGTCTACTGAGTTTGAGAACAGGGCATCCATGCCAAAAACCTAATGACGCCCATGGTCCACGGACTTTGAGAACAAGCCCAAAAATCTAATGGTCTACAGTGTTTGAAAACAAAACCTAATAACGTCACGTCCATGGTCTACGGACTTTGAGAGCAGAGCATCCATGCCAAATGCCAAATGACATCCATGGTCTACTGTGTTTGAAAACAAAGCATCCATGCCAAAAACCTAACAACGTCCATGGTTTACGGGCTTTGAGAACAGAGCATCCATGCCTTAAATGACATCCATGGTCTACTGTGTTTGGGAACAGAGCATCCATGCCAAAAACCGAATAACATCCATGGTCTACTGAGTTTGAGAACAGAGGACGACACCTATTGACATTCATCGTCTACTGTGTTTGAGAACAGAGCATCCATGCCAAAAACCTACATCCATGGTTTGAGAACAGAGCAAAAAACCTGATGACATCCGCGGTCTACTGAGTTTGGGAAGAGAGCACCCATGCCCAAAACCTAATGACGTCCATGGTCTAGGGCGATCTGGGAAAACAGCAGAGAGTGGCGCTTGCCATCGCACCGAGTGGGGTTCCTACTTTCGAAGACTGTTGGACAACTTCGTGCTACTATGTGAATCAAGTTCGTGTCATTCTCATCATCCATCATTATGCACATCATCACGACCACCATCCTAGCATCATCTAGCATCAGCATCTTCGTCATCTTCTCAACAATAGTTTTGGGTCTCTAGACGGGGGCCGACACCCCGGGTGCCCTCGCGCCCCCTTCCTGGGAGTCGACAGCCAAATCCAACCACCATGCAAAAAGTGGAGCTTGCATGGGGTTGTGTTTTCGTGTCTGCCATTTTTCATGCGGATATCTGACATTAGTAGTCTTAGTAGTAACAGATGACTAGACTAGGACCAGGACGAGGACGAGGAGTAGGAGCAAGGAGTAAGGAGTAGGGAGCAACGAGTAAGGAGTTAGCAGAGGAAGTGGGAGTAGGAGTCCGAGCGGGCGTCGGAGCAGCAGCAGAGACAGCGGCAGCGGCAGCAGAACGGAAAGAGGGAGGAAGACTGCCGGACGAGCAGGTCTTGCCTGTATCTTTTTGGCCTCATCTTCCGGATTGGCCACAAGGTATCCAGCTCGGTTTGCTGGCAGCCAACCTCAAGAAATCCGCACCTGGCTCCATTTCGAGGTAGTTTTCTCCAACCTTCACCCACGAATCCGGGTGCTGGTCTGTCGGCAGCATGCAGTTCGAACGGCATAGCGAACGTTTCGTTGAACGTCTTGAAGCTGGTGGTCGATGGCACTGAGGTTGCGCTGGGCTTCATGATGCTGTCCATGTTCCTTGGACGCCACGATGGACTAAGTTTGTCGCATGAGGGCATCAGCGGCTTGGCGATTAGTGCTAAGGTTGGTGATGGCTGTTGTTATCCTCACACTGGAATGCTACAGTCTTTACTGGGCAGTGAACTCAGTTTCCAGGCGACCGCTTGCAGTCAAAGCAGTGGGAGAGCATTGCGGTGGCCTTGCGGCATTTGCTGAGGTGGTTTTTGCTTACGCGCTTGGTGGCGCCGTTGCTTGGCGAAGAAAACATGAGTCAGCAGAAGGAGAACTGGAGTATGGTGGATGAGTAGCTGTGCTTGGAGGCCATGGGGTCCTTTGAGTCCAACTTGCTGACCTGCTTGACACCTTTGGGAAGTCGCACCAAGAGCATTGCCATCCTCGGCCGTCGCCTTGAACCGGAGGGGTACAGTGAAGCATCCCCCGAATCCTGGAGCTGAGGCATCCCGCTGGGTATCAATAGTATTTTGATCGGTGGATTTTATCTCATGGGACCACCACTCAAGGCCTGGCCGCCAGGGATTCAAGCTGCCTTGCTGTGAGATTCGGCTTTTCAGGTGTCCGTCACGGCTGTCTTCGCAGCGGTGGCAGCGTTGAACCTCATGGGAATGCATGGCCCTAAGTCACCATATGTCACCATCCTGGCGGCAGCATGTCTGTCAGGAACGTAGGCTTTGTGACTGGGAGGGTGGCATGTGTCCAGTGCATCCAGCAGCATAGTTTGCCGAGGCTGATCTTTGCGCTGCGCATACCACGCCCCGCACATGAGACAGGCAATCAGATGCTTGGGATGATGAAACAATAGGGGGGTCATTCTGGTCGTGAGGCATCTGGAGATTCACAGGCATTTTCCTGCAGTCGGCCTGAAGCACCGGGCCATGAGTGCACAGTCTAAACCTAAAAAAGGCTGTCGCCAGGGAGATCGTAAGATGCATTCCACATGGGGTTCACTGGTCCGGCGATCCAGCACGCAGGTGGCGAGTGTGGGGCAAGCGAGATCGTCGCAGACTGTAAAGGCTGCAGGCCGCTTCGGAACTTGCTTGGAATTTGCAGAAGTTGTCTCATGCTTCTTCGCATATCGATTCTCTCAGCCACATGCGTCGTGCTTGAAGAACGGAATGCGGTCCAGCATCCTCCTACTGCAATCCTTGCATGAGACCCCGTGACGCATCTAAGCTACTTCCTCAAATGTCAGGCAGTGGTTGCCACGCGTCTGGCACTACCCACTTGCTTTCGCCGTTGGGGCCTTGGAAAGGGTCTGGAGTTGGGGCAAACTGAAAGAGGGCTTTAGAGATGGATGTTGTGCGTCGTAGTGTTGTAGGAATGTCCCCAGCAGCCATGTGACTAAGGTTGACACCTTCACGCTTGCAGGCTTCTCTCCGGGTCTTTCCCTGTACTTGTATGACCAGGCAAGGACTCGAATTAAGTTAATCAACTCTTCGTCCAATCGTGAAGCCCGGAGAGGCAAACGTTGTGTTGTGTGTGCGGTCTGCTGCAGTGCAGGAGGTAGTGCAGCTGACCGAGAGTTTCGCGATGGCAACGAAGACGTGCACCTCCCAAATCTTGCTCAGCATCAATGCCAGCTGATTGCGAGTTGGCTCGGTACGCTCACTCAATCTGAATGTTGTGATAGGTTCTTTGCGTTCTACAACACAGCCAATATGCTCGGAGGCTCTTTCTTCGATTGGCGCACGATAGCTGTCTCTTGTCACAATTGTTGTAAAGATGCTCTGTCGGACAGCAGTGGCTAGGTCTTTGTGGACGATGGCTCAGCTACCGAATTCGTCCACGCCATCCGGCCGTCTACGTAGGCATCGACCATCCGGTTCACTTGCGTCGATACAATTACAGTTACAGAAGAATGGCCTGTCGTAATTGCGAGGCTTCAGTACTGCGGGCGTCTTGCTGCTTCTGTCGCTGCGGCCTGTCAGTCCCTCAGAAGAGTCTTCAGATTCATGTCAATCAAGACGCTATCTACTGAGCTCGAGCTGCAGGTGCTTGCCCCATCGGGAGCTTTCTTGGTGGCTTGACTTGGTGAGTTCACCTTCTGTTAGCATTTCGAGACGCTGCGAACCGGACACACTTGTCATGACTCTGAGGTAATGCTGGGAGACGGGTTGATCTATGGCACGATCAGCGCGGCTCCCAAACAACCCTTTGCTGGTGCCTGAAGCAGATGCTGCATGCTGTTGTGCTGTTGGTCTGTGTTTTCGCGGGCCTCACGGTCTGTTTGCCTTTGCGCTACATCCGTCTTGTCCTTCTGTGCGTCGGTCCGTCCGTCTGTCCAAGCATAGACGGCTCTCGGTCTCTGTCCGTCTGCATCTGTGTCTGTGGTGGTTTCTGCTGCTGGCCTCCGCGTGTCTCTGTCTCCATCTATGCTGAGGTCGCTACGTCGATTCTGCTATACCTGAGGATGGGCAGATGGGCATGTTCTGGTTTAGTCTCGTTGCAACAGGCATGCGATCCGGGAGTGCAGTCTTCTTGAGCAGGAGTTCAATCTCATCGCGATTTCATATTGGCTTTTCATCGGCGACATTGGCAGTCTCGTGGGGTGACGGCCTGGGAATCACGGAACATGTCGACGACCACAGTCGCAGACCGTGAAAGCTGACCGAGGTCAAATTTGATCTGCTACCTCCGCGACTGGCTTGTGCCAGGTTGAGTTGCAATTTGCCCGAAGAAGCTGTTAATTCGCAGCATTAATTCGCGGTAACCAGCAAATCCCTTTGTGAATCGTCCAGGACATCCCCTCAGTCCAGGTTCTCTTATGATGTCCATGTGATACTGTGTAAAACGCCAGCTCTATCGCTGGAAGCCTTGTTGGTGAGGATTTCCTGGCAAGCAATTCAGCTCCCACCTGCACCGCTGGTAGCTTTTTCAGCAGTGGTGCTGGCGCAATGAGCTGGTGGTTCTCAGACGAGTGCGAGGCAGGAGCCAGGAATCTCGCAATTCGGTAGTTCGTATGGTGCTATGTCGGACTCTAAGGCTCTTAACGCTTGCACCTCTCGTATGAGGGCGTTGAAGATTGTTTGTGAGGCTGTAAGGCAAGGGTGACATGCCTGCATTTCACGCTTTACCATGAACCCGGGCAAGGCACGGGCAAGGGAACGGAGCACCGTAGGTCTTCGTGCGGTGAGCTGCACGAGCTGCGCTACACGTCTCCAGGGAAGTGGTCAAGGGGTGTGTGACAAAGCAGCGATGGTTTTCCTTGCTCGCATGGTCGGAAGCACGCGTGGCACTCCCGCATACTTAAATGATCTTAATTGCTTGTCAGGATTCAGTGCAGATATCTGCCGGATCAAACACCATCTTGATCTTCCGCTTTGCTCTTGGCCATGCCGAGCCGTCTTGTGATTGCTGCCGATGCCGTTACAAACTCAGGTCCTGGCATGTTCGACCTGGAATGCAGAACAGATGAGGATCGGATGGGGGGCTTCATCATGCCTGTGTGACATCGGGATGTTAGCCTCCACGGAGGAGACATTGATGCTTTCAGCATCTTTGCTCGAGCATGTGGACCCGCATGGTCCTCGGGGCGCCACGTGAGACTCTTCTGCTTGCATCCTTCCGGAACGGTGGGTTCTGCAGGCTGATCCTGACTGGCAACGAAGTCGGCGTTGCTTGGTGGCATGAAGTGGTAGGCTTGCAGTTCATGCAAGACTCTCTTGGATCTGTCGAGGACCTCGACTGGCTGCGGTGTGTTGAAGGCCCACCTGGTCCAGAAGGCCACGCCATCAACGTCCTGACCCAACTGTGGAAGCTTTCCTGTTACGCTTCAGCAACGCCTCGCACTTGTGAAGCTGAGGTGGTGAACTTGTCCAGCCGGCTTATGGCCAAGTTTGACGAGCCCGAAGCGTGCTCCGTTGTTGTCCAGATCCTGTCTTTCGTTGTGTGGAGCTGCTTCCCCAGAAACCCACTTTTCATCCCGTGGCTCGAAGCTAAATGGCTGAGTGTAGGCAGATAGCTACGACTTGCTACATCTGTGTAACGGGCACGACTGATTAATGGAAGCATAATGGAGACCGCCAGATTTCGGAAATGTAGCAAGACCTCAGACATATTGCAAGAGTGACAGTAGAAGCGAAGCCGAGCCTTCCGCCTCCATGCAAAGACTTTTGCAAAGCACGCACACAGTCCGCCACATGGACGGAGCTGGTAGATCAAGCATGGCGATGCGCTGTGCAGCCTGCTGTGATGCCTTTTAAGGCGAGGCTGACTGCACCGGGCAAAGCTACATATCAGGCATTTGTACAAGGTTCCGCCGCCGCCAGTTGATGATGGTTTCTACGTGGCAGTTCCCAGCTACAAGCGTGCGCAGGGTGCCCGAGCCGTTTTACGCGTTTGGCAACATGCGCTATACGGAAACTGCCCCGTGCGCCAAGGGAGTTGATCCAGCGGAAGACACTCGCAGTATTGCAGAGGCGCGGGACCGGCGAGTATCGAGACTTCGTGCCATCGCAGTCACCGAACAGGCACGGCATTCCAAAGAACCGCATCTACATTTTCGTGGCATCAGAGTCCGAGCGCTCTGCATGCAATCAGAATAACTCAGTGCTCTCGCGTGTCGCGCTTGATGCTGCAGTGGTGTCTTGATTCCAGGTACGCGGTGTATCGCTCTGCGTTGAGTCCCTGCCTCAATGCCTAATAAGTTTATTTTTACTCCACTTTCTCGGGTTACAATTTAGCATCCTTGCGCACAGCACTTCGACGGACTAGTGGCTAGGCATGTCATTGCTAGGTCTGCTGCATTCATGGCATGCCCGGCGCAGTCTGGGAAGTTTTCCGCAGTCTTTCATGAGCGGCTCCAGCCGCTTGCTGCTAAGATTGACATCAGCTTTGGTTGTTTCGACGGTTTTCGAAGATCATCGAAAGAACTGTAACCCAGAGCCCAGTACCTGAGGAAGCGTGCACCTGAAGCATAACTGTGTGACCTGTCACTGCAAACTTCCGACCGACGTGCTGAGCCATGCGCCTACGCCATGCCATCTGGCAGAAGCTGCAGCCCAGCCCTGCGTCTCCGAAGACTGCAAAAGGGCAAGCTGTCGAACTGCTGCACCAGGGCTGCGGCATTGCCAGTCGTGGGCGGAGGTCACCAGCAATCCAAATCCGTCCAGGACACTTGACATGGTGGCGTTGGCAGAACAACTTGGCCAGCTCCCACAGCTCCAACGCAAGCAGCAGACTGAGGAAATTGAAAGTGTCTTCTCTCTCTCTCTCTCTCTCTCTCTCTGTTTCAGTCTCTTCAGAATGCAATTGGGACTCAATCATCACCGTCTGTCTTCTGTCTCTCTGTTCACATCAATCATCGAGGCCATGGGTGATCTTAAACGACTGTCGAGCTGACTTCGAGTCGGCCATGGGACTCAGCACAGATGCCTTGCAGCTTGGCATGAGCGGCAGTAGCGCACAGCAAACGTCTCCAGCTGCACAGGTGGAGTTAGCAGCACAGTTGCTCTTGCGCACTTGCGAGGCTGATGACACTGGCAAGCTGGCTAGAGGACGCGTGTGTGGGTCAGGAGCTCAAGGCCGAGGTGCAAAGGGCAGCTTCCGCTTCAGCTTCCGCTTCTGCCGCTTTGCCTCTCGCGCCCTGAGGCCTGGCCCACGTCAGCCTGGAACTCGCTCGCGCTCCATAAAAGCGCTCGAGCGCTCGCTCCCTTTCAGAGTCTCAGGTGGAAACGTCTATTTGGGGCTCCGTCTGGATTTGGGAGCTCGTTCGCTCGCGCCGGAGCAGGTGCCCAGATCGATTCTTTTCTGGAGAGAACCCCTCCCCCCCTCTCGCGCACTGCCCATAGCATCCCACGGCATGCGGAGAGGTGCTATTGGGAAATCTATTTTCACACGGAGAGATTGGTCTTGCTCCTCGTACATGCATGTGTGACAGTCGAGGCAAACAGCCGAAATTGCCTCATTGTAAGCAAGCTGTTAGTTCTGGGATGAGCTGAGGATGCCATTGCGTCACCAAAGTTGCCGGATGACCAGGTGCACGCGTGGAGGGATCAGAGCTCCGACAGCGAGTGCTTTCATTTCACAATATCTTTTGGGATTTCTTTGGTCGTCAGGCATGTAGCTTGCTGGCGGAAGTGGCAACCTACCCTAGTTGCTTGGCGATCCAAAAGCGCCTGTGTTTGTTGTGTAATGTCACATGCAATTCTGGTTGTTGCTTTCTAGTGGACAATGCATGTCTCGATTTCCAAGCAGCAGGCCTCCGCTGGCTTTGCGCTTCAGCCCAGAGGTCTGAGGCCCATGTGTTATTTGCTCCAGTTTTGCTGCAAGTCTGTATTTGCCAACATGAGGCGGTGGCACCGAGCTTGCCGGTGACGCTTCAGCCGGAGAAGCCACGCCAGGCATGATACGCAGTCGAAGCCCACCTTCCGGTTTGCGGTTGATGACAGGTGGGTGACATCGTAAAGCCGGTTCGCCGCAGGCTGCTAAACACCTATCCAGCGCTTCGTGGCTTGGCGGCATGTCGTCTTTGTCATGCAGGGAGGCCTGTTCACTGTGCAATTTCAAGGGCATGCCTCTTCTGTATAAGACTTGAAAATGACTATCCGGTCGGTTGAACCACCTGGACGCATGCTGTAAGCTCGCAGACTGTTGTGTTGCACAGCATATCGTGCATTCAGGTGACATGATTGGAGATCCTTCAAGAAAACATGGAAATTGCCTTCAGCTTCTTGGTGTGTAAAACATCACAACTTGTGCGTCTGCACTTCCCACCAAGCCTGGAAGGCATGAGGGCAGAACCTGGCAGAACGAGCTGCTTCTTTGCCAAAGGCATGCGAGCTTCATTCACTACGACCTGCGTGGAGATACCTTGGAGGACACACACACACACAAAAGCACGTGCGAGTTTTGTGTGTCAGGGCTGTGTCTGCACACAGTCGTGGCGTGCTGCTAGGAGTATCAAGCCTCTGCTGCGCGCATCGCTGCAGAGCTTTGGATTGTTTGCAGGGTAGGGTGCAAATTTCAAGACAAAACCGTGCAATCAGCTTCTATGCACGTGCTGGACAGCTTATGTTAACCTCATAGTTTGCATGGTTGGGTTCTTGCGTCGGCTTTCCAAGAAACGCGCCTATGCACCAGTGTCTCGCCCGACTGCTGGCTGTGCATTGAAGACGGAGGTGGGGGGTGTCGAACATGGCAAGGCCCCTTCCCCGAGTTCACGAGTGTCTGTGCAGGCAGGACTTTTCTCGGGCTCAGAGGCTGGGAAAGTACAGCCAAACATCCCTGGTGCTGCACGGCGACAGTTTTGTGACAGGTGGCCACGCAGACAGGTCAGGGTGGCCTGACGCCGTTGGAGCACCTCGACCAGAAGCCCGGCAGGGTACGTTCTGAGCTGCCGCTTCTGCATGTCTTGTGCGTGCTTTGTGCAAGCTGGTGCAATCTGGTGAAGAAGGTGCGCGTTGATCTCCCTCGGCGCAAACGGCTTGGATTGCATGTCCATCCTGTCTGCAGTCTGGTGTCAACCATCGGACGAGCAAAGCATCCTGGAGAGCCCCAGTTGCACAAGGCTGCTGCACAAGCCTGCACTTCCGGAAGCCCCTAAACTGAATCACAGTTCGCGCTTTGCATGGTTGACTGTGCCTGGGCGACCGAAGGGCTTGCAGAGTGGAATCTGGCGGCTGTGAGGATCTTATTCCACAGGCAGCAAGGCCTTGAACAGTTCCGGAACGCCGGAAGGTGAAGATTTGAGACGGCCTGGTTGTACGAATTCACAGATTTCGCACAGCGCACGAAATTCAACAAGTCGCCAACTCTGTGTGGGTTCAGGCATTTCGCCTTCCCCATCCCACCCGCATGCGATGTCTTAATCTAGTTCACACACTTTTGCGCAGAGTCTGCAGCTCACAGGCGGCATTGTCATGAGTTTGGTGTATGCTGCTGAGAAGATCCTGTCTTCGTGTCGCATCATCACATCCGAGGATGAGGGAGTACGACAGGAGCCTCCTCACGGCATTGTCACCAAATGCTCCATTCGACACGGTCCTTCCAGAATGACGGGGCACCTAGACCTGGGAACCGCGAAGACGGAAGCATCGCCTTGGCCGTGCTCGTGAGCTCGCGCTTGACATGGACAACGAGAAGGACAAGCGCAGACGCTACAACCACTTCAGCGGTTGTGACGAGAAGTCGAAAAAAACGGTGCAGCAGAAGAGGGCACGCTGTCATGGATCTGGGCGAGTTGCAGATCGTATGCAATGTGACTAAGTAAGAAGGTCGGGAATGGAGAAACATTGTGATCGGCGTGCCAACGTTGTGGCAGCTTTCTGAGACATACCTCCTCATTACATAGCCTGCCTCGGACAACTCTGCCCATGAGGAATCAAAGGAACTTCATCACAAAGTTCTTTGCTGAGGGATGCGGCCTCGGTGCTGTCGAGCTATGCATTTCGAAGTGCTTTGACGATGCCACCTTCGACGTGTAGGCACTCACATCCTGTCCATGGATGATGATGTGGAGGTGTGGAGCTTGAAAGTGCACACTCATGTGCTGGTTTGTTGCAGGCCCATGAATGTACAAACGCTGTCAGGACTTGTACCTTTGCGAACCACTGTCGCAGCAATCAAGCGCAGAAGCAAAGAGCTCAGACACGCGCGAGTGACGTCGGTGTAGTGGCCGCCACTCAGTGTGATGGGTTGGCAAAGGTCAAGAGACTTCCCTTACCCATGGATGCCTGCTCAGCTGTTGACCGCTAGCTTGCAGCAGCTTGTGAAAGAATTACAATGATATCAGGGCGGCATCTTGGCAGAGATCGTGGCCAATGCGTCCGCCCAAGCTGCGGGGTCCGCCCAATCTGCTCACTGAACTGTCGGACAAGGCCAGGGAGACGATGCTGTCTGCTGGCTGCTTTCTTTGGTCGTTGAACGCTGGCGCCCTAGTGTTGTCTGGTTCTCTGGACGAGCTACATTAAACGTTCTGTCTACTCAATAATCGTGCAGCCTTCTATGCAAGAGACATTCTGCCGAAGTTGGTCCACTGCCTAAGGTAAGTGACAATCCGATGTTCATGCGGCACAATGCGTGGGGCTCGGCTGCCAACACGTTCTTACAGAATATACAGTGTTCTCTCAGCCCATGTGTAATGCAGGTCCTGTTTACGAATGGCCTCTGCAACGGCTTCTTTTGGGGCTTTTCGGCACAAAAGAGTTCGGGTTCGTGATTCACAACTCACAACCCAGTCTGGTGCATGAGCACTCAGGCTGCCTCAACAGGCACGACGAGGAGAATTTCCTCAACTACTGGCAATGCACTGTTGTTGCATCTTCATCTTAGATTGGTTTCAGCACGCTGCTAGTACTAACTGTTTGTATGTATTCCTCTTACCGCATGTTGAAACAGTTGTGCGCGCTGCTTCACACTTCCGCATTCAGCACTCAAAGCAGCACCGGTGTTCTGAGTGCAGCACCGAGCCCTCATCCCAGCATCAGCCTTGCTCGCGCCGATGAGTCCTTGAGCTTTGAACCTCCTGTGTTGGCCTTCAGCAAGAAGGCGAATCAATTTAGCACGCATCGCAGCGACAGTAGAGGTCGAGTCCTTCGGTTGAACTTCATAAACAGGGCTGAGCCTTACACAGTCATTCAGAAGTTATGAGCGAAGAGCAGCTCCTGATGGCACCGTCAGTGCTGTAACTCTGCACGGCGCATGCAGAAAGCGTTGTGCAGACAAACAGTAACGTAGCATGCCGCATGCCTGAACCCAACGTCGGAAAGTCATAGACTCGGTATCGTGTGACTGAAGCCCAAACCCAATCTAGAACCTCTGTCTCTCCTTGGCTTGGTGTCCCACAACATTCCGAGCAGACAGTTGGTCGGACCTGGTGGCACAAAGCTGCATGCTCGAGTCGTTTGTTTTTCATCACCCTTCTATCGCAAGCCCGGACCTTCAGCCCCAAGCCCAAGCCGTGATGTCAGGACCTGACATTGAAATATGGCGATGGCCACGAGGCAGGTCTAGTCTTCGAGACATCTGTTCCCCGAGAAAACGGCCAAGCAGGATGTGGAAAGGTCCCTTCGGTACTTCCAAAAGGATGGTGCGCGGACCTCATAGTGTCAACCTCATATTTTGAATCCCCCGCGCAACAAAATCCAATTCTACAGATCGTAATTAGAACCCCCCCATTTGCAGAATCAAACAAGAATCTTGCTTATATAGATGAGAGAGAGCTCAAAGGAGCTGAAAAGGCTTTCAACTGTTTCTGATGTTGAGCACGCTGAGGCAGTGCTCCGCTACAGTTTCATCTGCGCGAGCTCTAGGTGCAAGCTGAATCCCGGTGGTCTGCAGGCTTGGATACTTTGCGGATTCGGTAGCTCTGATCACCGCTCCATGGAGGCCTCCATGAAGCCTGGCCAGCGTGCCGAAGAAGAAGACCGGAGTGCTGTGATGCTGGTCGAGGCTTGGAGCTTTCTTCCTGGCTTGCACCGCAGTGCTCGTCTTTTGCTTCGCCAGGAATTTCCGCACCTTCTCAAGCTGGCTCCAGGCTCTGCTTTAGGCGGGAGGGGAATTCCGGAAGTGAAGCAAGAAAGAGCCTTGCCAATATTATCTGCCAATGCTACCTACACGCTTTCGTGATTCTTTGGACGCACCTCTCGCAGCCTGCACGAAGCTGGCTTGAGAAAGGCGGGCCGTGTTCCATGTAGTCGGCATGGCCACTCGCCCGCTCTACGTTCAGAAGTCGGATGATTGCCAAACACGCATGGAAAGCACGGGCGGCATCCTCGCAGACAAGCCCACTGACGCTGCAAGCAGTGGCTCTGGCCAAGGCTCCGTCTGCCGACCTTAGCTGCCTTTGCTTCGTGTGCGACATCTTCTGCTCGGCTCCTGAGGGTGTCAGCTTACACGGCTTCTCGGCAACTCGGACGAAGCAGAAGCAGGGATCGAGCATCCGCCGTGTTGCGGAGGCTTTTGGGGGTGTTCGGACGGAGATGCCCATGATGCTGTAGGATCATCTATGTGTTGGGTGAAAGCATGTGCAAGAAGGCGACACACCCGAAACGATCAACCTGGGAATCAATGAGGTAAAAGTCCTGCCTTCCGGAATCGACGACCCGTCCAGCGGCAATGGGGTTTTCGTTGCTGATGGTACCGTGCCTTCCGGAGTCCTCGTGGCTCTGTATGCGGGTATTTGGTTTCCCTCGGCCCTGCCCTTAAACTTCGGCCGGAGAAGCCTGCACAATGCTGCATTCTGCTGCACTTTTTCAGCATCCAAGTTGCCCATGGACAAAGTGCAGTGGGGCACAGAGACGCAACCGCACCCACTGGCAAGGGAACATGGTGAACGAGAAGTACACTTTGACCAGTGGGGGTCTCGAGTTGAGCCAGGTACTCATGGTCCCACGTTCTGGATGTTCATGGCCCGGAAGCAGTAGCCTGTCTGCAGCAAGCACAGGTGATGTTGGGGTTTGCTGAACATCCAGAGTTTGAGCTGCTTCCACAGTCGAAGGTCGATCCGGAACTGACGAGTTGCACGAGAGCGGATGTGGTGTCTCGTCGGGAAAAGAGGCTTGGGAGTCGCGGTGGGCATGTGGCGTTGAGGAGAGTCAAAGAAGAGCTGTCTCACTCTCAGGTGTCGTACCATTTGTGCTGTGACGGCGGCATCATGGAATCTCATCGACGCATTAAGTCCTTGGTTTGGTAAGTTTGGAGTTTGGAGTTTGGGATGACTGGAAAAGACGAAAGCCGATGCTTCGCTCCTTGGAGTCGCGAGGACGGCTTCCGTGCAGACTGCCGCGTGAGATCTGCATCTTGCCTATTCTTGCCTTGGATGTGGCATTCCAGCTTGGCTGGGAGTCTGCGCCTGTGCGTCCTGCCCCAAGCCCAGGACTGCATTCGAAGTCCATTCGCCGTGGGTCAGCTTGTGAACCACCCGCCCAAAGGTGCAGAACTTGGAGCTGGTGCTAAACTCGAAACTGGAACTGCTTCGATCTGCTTCGCTGCGAAGCGCTCAGGCCAAGTCCCCAACGTCAGGTTGCGGCAGCTGGAGTTACTCGGACAAGTGGAACAACTTCCCATCACTGCCTTCTTAGATTCTTGTGGTGCCTCCTAGAGTCCTAGAGCTCTTTGCCAAACTTTGAAAGCTCTGAGGCCACTGGACACGGGGTTGGCAGTGAGCCGCACGCACAAAGGTCTCTGGTATCTAGATCCACACACGTGGAGCAGCCAGGATGCACAATGAGACTCAACACCCTCGGGTCTCTTTCTGGAGCCGCCGCGGTGGCTTCGATATGAGGCGAGGTCCACGTTCCTCCTGGAATTCGGCCTCCGACCATCGCTCTTCAGGCTGCATTCGCCATGGTGCGCTCAGTTTCGCAGGGCTGCCCTGCCATGCGACGAGGCAATGCGAAGCCTCTTGCCTGGACAAGAACTGTTGCTGAACTACAACTTGTGCGTTCCCCAGACCTTGTGAGTCTGAGCCCGGTGCAAGTGCTGTTGTGGTTGGCAGATCCCAGGCGACGCCCGCATCCAGCCTGGTACCATCCTGTAGATACAGTCGAGTAGTCGTGGTGCCTACAGTGCCTACAGCTCAGCTCCGTGCTGCGATGCTGAGCTCCGCGGACGAGATCAAGCCAGACGCAGGTTCTCACAGAGCACCTCAAGGAGCTGGTCCGGAGCTCGTCTGTCGTGAGTGCCACGGCGGCGGTGCTGTGCACTCTGTACAGTTACTCCGCAAAGTACAGTCACTCCGCAAAGCCCCGGAAAAGCAAGTGCTGCAGTTACTTGCGCTTCTTTGCGGCTGCATGACAACTCTTTAGACGAAGTTTCTTTGTCAATGCGCGGCAGGTGTCAAGTTTCTGCGGAATCTCAGTGACCAGCTCACGGGCCGGACCTGTACAGCGTGTGGCTCTCTCCCTCCCTCTCGCTCTCTCCCTCCCCCTCCCTCCCCCTCCCTCCTGGAAAAAGCGCTGAATCGGGCGAAGTCCTGCGTTGCCAAAGGTGAAGAGATGCTCTCATCCAAAGACCTCGGCATGCTGATAGACCAGAGGAGGACCGAGCCGAAACGAAAATTATCCGAGATGTTGCTGCTGCAGTCCGAGCGATTCTGGGTGTTCTGTTTATCTCGACACGGCAATGTCTCGAACAGGACTTATCTGCTGGAAGGTGCAGTCTGGGCAACATTGCGACAAACAATCAACAAGGTCTTTCTGCATTCGGCAGATTCAATCAACAATCATCGCCTGTGCCTCGCTTCAAGGATCGCCTTGCAGTGGTGTCCGGGACCTTCCATCGCACTGTTCCCGGCTAGGGTGCAGGTCATCCAGATTGCAGCGAGAGCAGCAACAGTCTAGAGTCTACAGGTTGCAAAGCCAAATCGGCCGTGATGAAGAAAGGCTGTGGAGGCTGGGAGGTTGGTGCTGTAACACTGTGTGTGTGTGTGTGTAAGTCGTGCAGCCGGCATGGGAGGTGGCATTGTAATTGCGCCCTGGAGTGCCATCTATGGTGATGAGGATATTTCCCGGAGTAGAGTCAAGGGAGAGAGCATCCGTAGCGACTGGCGCTGAGCCCAGGACTTGAAAATCGTTTGGCTGCCATTGGAAGCTTGCGAGGCCTACTTGGAGCGCAGCTCTGGGCTTGGAGATACGAGTGGGTTCGGAGCAGTTCAAGCGTCAGGCGCTAGCTTTGCAGCACAAGCCGTGGTCTAACGAGTCGGAAACTTGGCCTTTGGAGTCTTTGGTCTGCGCCGCAAACGCCGCAAAGTCGCTAGGCTGTGCCGTTTGCTCAAGCTGGGATCCGGCTTGGCGCTGGCCTCGATTCTCAGAAACTGCATCGGTGCCGGGACGCTTACTGGTAGGCTCCTGCTGCTTGGCGTGGAGGCGAGGTCCATCACGGTTCGGACGAAACTCTCTTCACACGCTGGTGGGCATGAAAATCGAAGCGGCTTGCTGAAGGATCGTCCAAGCCACGCAGCACAGCGCTCGTGCAATGACTGCCTTTGCTCGTCTTATCTCGTCTTGTCATCGCAGCGAAGCACAAAAGACATTTGCGACTCTCCCCTAGGCTCCGCCTCGCACAGCACTGTGGCAAGGAGTGGAAATTCGCCTTGCTCGGACGCTGTCCCAGATCCCTCCCAGACTCGCAGATTCCGCTCCGGAGCAGGAAATCCCAGCGGCAAGAAAGTTTGCCCCGTCCTACTCCGGGCACAAAGAGGCCTGACAAGCAACCGCAGCACTTCCGAAGCTCGTGACCCCAGATTCCAGGTCCGCCCCCATATCCGGCGAGAACTCGCTGGGCAAAGGCAAGGCGGAGTTGCACACTCATGCCCATGCACCACGGTGTTAGTGCGATATATCAGACATTTCCACACTCCACACCAGGTAACTTAGCGCTTTCTGCTCTTTAATGCGCCGTTTGGTTTGTGTTTGTCTTGCCAAGGTGTGGATTCATTACTCCAGTATCGGCCCAAGACATGCCAGGCAACAGGCATCGGCTTCAGCTAGCAGGCTTTGAGAATACGCTGACGTACTCGTACTGACTTGAAGCTGTTAGCGCAGGTGGTTTTCTTTTGAACTGTTTTCGACATACGGTGGCATACTGGTTGAGCTGTTTTCCTTCTTTTATGGAAATCCTTCTGGATTGACTGTTGAGCCCCAGCATCTCCCAGCGCAGCTCCCACGAGCATCTGAGACCGGCATAACTGCATACCTCCCATAGCATGGAGTGTCGTCTGAGTCTGAGAGCTGAGAAAGTGTCCATGATCTGCTTCCAAATTTGAGGATGGCGGGCAAGCGACGCAAAGCGCAGGCTCGGAGTCTTGCGGCAGAGACCCGCTCTTCTAGGGCCGGGGTTTGCAGGTCGGTGCTCCGCAAGTCCTAGCACTCGAAGATGCTTCGGCGACGGAAGTCAGCCAGGATATCCAGGGTCCCCTAGCATGGAACTTGGTTGTTGGCTGTCCGAAGGACTGCTTTTGAAGGTTCTTTGCCAGCCACAGGCTGGATTTGGCAAAAGAGTTGAACTATGATTTGTCTTGAATTATGGAATCATCAACATCAGCATCGGAATCATCATGAAAGCATCCCCGGGTCCCCTGCCTCACAACTCATGACATTGTTATAGTTTCTTTATTCTTTAAGCGTTTCGGCGGCGGTTGGGGTCCTTTTCCGCGAGACGATGCTACCCAAGTAATTAAGTGACAAAAGGAACCAACGATTTCCTGAAGCTCTTCTCATGACTCGAGAATTCCAGGATCACCGTGCGAGCTCTTCCCGGCCTTTTTTCCGCCAAAAGATTAAAGCAATAAAAGTAGAATGTTGAATATGATGATAAAAGCAGCGCCTATTTCCTGAGTGAGGCTCTCCTGATTTTTTGCAAACTCCAGGATTCCTGCGTGCCCTTTCCCCGGCTCTCTTCCGCAAAAGGATGAACAGCTATGAGCACGTGATAATAAACTGATGGAAAGAATGATACAATCAAAAATGATGAAGAAGCGATGATTTCCTGAGGCTCGCCTTGTTTTTCGAAGATTCTAGGATTCCCACGTGTCCTTTCCCCGGCCCTTTTCCGCCAAACGATGAACAAGCTATCAACACTCAGTTTATTAGGAAATATGAGAACCAACATGCAAGAATCTTATAGGGCTAGTTTTTTGGGACCAAGCAACGTGTGTACCTGTCTGCTGGTCGAGAGCTGTGCCGTTTTGCAGGAGCATGTCGCGCCTCGAGGCTGGAAGCTTCGACACGATCCCCCAGGAATGCTCTCTGCCGACCTGGGAGGTCGCAGGCGCCCTGGCCTTCTTGCGCTACTCACCAGGCTTCAACCTGTGAAACTCCCGGATGAAAAATGAGCTCGTGATTGGTTTTTTGGCAGTCTTCACAGCTTTTTGAGGGGCTTTTCAACCCACAGGTTCGGACCGGCGGCTGCAGAATCCACAGCCGCGTCTT